TTTAGGATTCTTTAGAATGGAGTTTCATGAGCTTTTTTCAGTACTTTTAGATGCTTATGTGGATGCTTTTATCATATAAATGTATACTAGAGCTAGCATTAATCTTTAATTTATAATTTTTTATGAAGTCTATCAATGGTTAGGAACAAACTTCATACTCTCTTTTGTATTATTTTAGCATACTTTTAGCCAATCATTTTTGTTGATACTCGTGAATAAGCAGTCGATGGAGGTTTCCCGCAGTCGGATGCAGTTTCGATCCTGGCAACGATGGGGAAGAAGGAGAGGATGAATGTTGGGGCCGACTCCTCCTCCAACTTTATACTCGATCCTGAGCGCGCGGGGTGGACTGATAGCCTGTACATGTAAGAATCACAGGAATACGGGGCTAGTTTCCCCCGTGGTACCTCCGACAGTCAAGTCAGTTAGTGAACTTGGGGAGGGTTTTTTGAGAGGCCCCTGGGCCATTGAGGTCCTTGCAGGGGGGCTTTCTCTTGAGAGTTATTAAAATGCTCTTGATGTAAAGAAAAGAAGATCCCAAAGGGGAATAAAGCTCAAGTGTAAGAAGAAGCAGAGAGCATCCTTTTTTTTTCTCCCTCCCTCCTCCTCTTGTACTTACCCTTCCTACCTCCTTTATATAGTCCATAGCCTTTGAGGCTTTTTGCTTTTCTCTTGCACAGGAGGGCGATTGCAGGGTGGACAGATAGATTGCTGAGTCATCCTTCTCCTTCCAGATGTTGGCTGATGATTGGAAGGGAAGTTATTCGAATACAAGCGAGGATTGTCCTCTCAATACCCTGGGTTTGTCAGAAGAGGCAGTGTGTAGGATATGTCGGCTGCGTGGCCGTCCTTCTCTCTCCAAGTGGTGGCTGGCGATTGGAGGAGAAGTCATTCGTACACAGGAAAGCATCATGGCAATCTTCTGGGAAATAACTTGTAAGCCGAATAAGCGGCTGGGGCACGAGGGTTATCAAAATAGAGATCTTGATGAGACTAATTAGTACTGTTGTGTCGATTGATATTAAAGTGAACTTGGTCGGCTCTTATCTCTTTAGTCGAGACGGATTGATCTGCGAGCCATCCTTATGATTTGGCGACCTGACAGTCGAGTGAGCTTCGGGTCGGGTGTATAGTCGAGTCGTCTGCTCGAGGAGTCGTCTTAATTGCAAGGGGGCGACTGATCCCGCACTTCGAGTCAGTCATGATGACCTGTTGATCGAAATATGGCTTGTCTGCTCGTCTGGGCGAGGGACTTTGGCCTTGACTGGGCTTTTGAGCCTCTGAGTTGATTTGGACCATAGCTCTCTTGGGCTTACATAGACATTCTCCCGATATTTCTATTTTAGTATGGTGACTGACCATAACAATTTTGTCTTATTGGTTTTAAATATTCACTTTCCTTGTATAACATTATTTCAATAGTTTTCACGTTTGCAACACTGTACTTTCTCAAGTAAAGCTTGGTTTCATGTCAGTTAAAATAATATAAAAATTCAAATTAGCTTTAAATTATATTTGTTTTCTATCAATTGAAATGTCAACATGTAAATTTAAATTGGGTGTAGCCATTTAAACAAACATTAAAAAAAAAATCATAATATTAAAGTTTAGAGGCAAAAGCGAGCACAAACTATTACAGTGGAACCGAGGTTTAGTTAGAAAATAAGCCAAAAATACTTAATAATGGCATTTAATCACGTGCGTTGCATGTGTATAAAACCTAGTAATGTTAAAACGAGTAGTTCTTGACGGATCAGATGGTAAAATCTGAATTAGGATACATTCAAATCCATGAAAATATTCTTATATTTCACATATCCATTAATATCACTAATGCATGTTTGGCAACTGAAAACTAAATGAAAAGTGGACTAAAAATTAGAAAATGGCTTTACTTTCCCTTTTCCCCCTCCATGTTTGACATTTGAAAAGTGAACGACAAGTAAATGGAAAGTGAGGGTATCACATCAGCTTTTTAGCCACTTTCACGTTCTTAAAATTTTGGAGAAAGTGAAGAGAGAAATTAGTTTGTAAACATTTTTTCACATTCTTTTGTTATTTTGATTATTTATTTTTCATCTGGTCTCCCCTCAATGCTTGACTTATAATAATCCACAATCTAAATTCTACGAGATTCTCCCGACAGCTTTATGCAACTTGCGGGAACGATCTTTTTTTTTCCGGAATAATTCCAACAGGACCCAAATTATGGGACTGGTATATGGGACAGGTTAGGTGGCATGTGCCAAGTTGGCAACTTAAAGGGCAATTTTGGGTAATAGATTTTGATTAAAAAAGGAATTAGTTTTTAGAGAAAATAGATGACCTTCCATATTCACCAATTAATCTGCTTCGTTCAGCCACGTCCAGCCTTCGTTCTATCCAGCCTCTCCTTCCGTTTCTCACCGTCCAGCCGCCGAAGCCCTTCGTTCAGCCACGTCCAGCCTTTGTTCTATATATCCACCCTCTCCAAAGTCACGTCCAGCCTTTGTTCTCATACAGTCCTGCTCCAATGGATTTTCAGTCCGAGAGCAACATTGATCTCTCACCTACAATCAAGGTATATTTCGAAACCTTCATATGCCGAAACTCTGTTACCATGAATAGGATGTCTAACATTCAGTAAACTTCATATCTAAGGATGAAAATCCATGTGCACAGGCAAATCTCGTCTGATTGTACAAGTACATGCTTCTCACCATCTATATATCCAAAATTTACTCTTAGAAGAGGCGCAAATATAAACACCAATTAAAACAATTCAAGTTCAATCAGATGAAAATCAAACAGAAAATAACTTGATAATTCTCGATTATCCTCTTAGTAGTATGCAGGTCCTGCAGGTATTAAGCAGAACATTATTCCTAAAATAGAAGCATTTTCACAGAGCTTCATTCTGAGGTTCAACCTAGTATACTTTTATCTTTTTTGAACAGGTCACTTTCTTTTTGTTAGTGTGAACATGAGAAAGGAAAATATTCTTTCAACATGAAAGCACGGTTATCAGGTTTTTTAAGGTGTTAAATGACTGACTGATAAGGTAAAAGAACTCGCCTTAACCCGAGCATACACCCTGTAAATGAACATAAAGGAATGTAATAGTTTGTTAATATGATCTCATTGAAGGAGAAAAAAGCACCACTCACCTGAAAAAACTCAAAACCAACCAGCATACTGGAGATTACATCGATCCGTCTGCTTCTATTAAAAACATAAAGACAACTCAAATTAATCTCATATTCTGGAAGTTAAGATCCATTCAACTTCAGAATGAAATAGAAAATAAGTTCCTACAAGGCTACGATAAGTACTGTAGCCTAATTGTTTGTATACTAAAGTTATATTTAATTTATGGTAATTTAAGTTAGTTTTAGAGTGATTGATAATAATCTTTTTGTTGACTTGTAGAGGACAATGCATGACGGAATTGAAGGAGAATCTACCCAGAAAAGATCACTTGATACAAATGTCAACATAGAGATTCAAGATGCTGATATTCATGATGCTACAATGGGAGTTGATCATCTTAAACCTGTAGTGGGAATGACTTTCAAGTCATTTCAAGAAGCTTGTGACTTCTATAACCAATATGCTAAAATTGTTGGATTTGGGATGAAAGTGAAGCGATCTTGGTTCACCGATGATGGTGTGGCTCTACATGATCCAAATTCTGTCTAAACTGCAAACATCAGGCTGAACATACCTGCTATAAGTGCTCTGTCCACAGGATTTTCAAGTCCAGTACTTAGTCCACGAAGAAGTAATATAGAGCACGACCATACTTACAATTTCCCTCAACAGTGAGCGATCAGTTCTATTAACCAACTATTAAGAAATCTCAACAGAAGCGTATATGCAAGAAATATAGGTCGGCATGTTTTCGCTACAAATGCACCAGACAGAATATTTTCACAAAAATAAGACATTCTTTTGCAAGAATATAAGCACAAGAATATAAGCCAAGTAATGTCTCACAAATTCCATCAATTTTAACAAGACGACAACAACAACAACAACAACCAAGTTTCAGCACCAAATTCATATTCATATCATGTCACATAGACGAAATTTTACAATTTTTGTACCATAACAACAACAAAAAATAAAAAAGACCAGAAATATGGACGTTTGAGTCCCAAGAGGACCCATAATAGGTCTAAACGAGCATGTCCTGAGAGGGGAGGAAGTCGGTGATAACATTAACTTGGAGCACAAGATGTTTTCGGTGACGACGAGAACATGACGTCGATGACGAACTTCAGCAACGATGGGATCTTTTTAATTTCTCTCAAAATGGAAGGACCAGTATAAGTCCCCTCATTCTTCCTCTGCCCAATCTCCCTCCAAATCATTAGGGACCCCGTCACCCTCTCCACCGGCATCACCTACGACCGCCAGAACTTCGAGCACAGGGTCTTCACCCTGAAGCACGACACATGCCTCCTCACCAGGCAGCCCCTCGACCCCGACCTCATCACCCCCAACGTCACCCTCCGCCGCCTCATCCAGGCCTAGTGCGCCCTCAACTCCTCCTCCTCCGAGGGCATCGAGCGCTTCCCCACTCACCCGGGCCCACGTAGCCGACCTCATCGCCGCGTCGAGCCCCGACGGCATGAGAACGAGATCATTTTGGTTTATTGATTGTAGTTGACTTCGACGGCAATCGATCACAAGGGTTGAGAACGAGGGTTAGCAAGAGGGGAGCTTTGGGTTTGGGGAAATCTATTTTGCTGTGTTTATTTGATAGGAGAGATGACTCATAAAATCACCAAAGTACCCTTTCATATATCCAACTCACTATTTTACAGCTAATTAATTTTTTCCAGCTGTATTCGCCACGTCATCTGTCCCATGAATCTGTCCCATTTTTGGGTCCTGCTAGCAGCACTTTTTTTTTCCGTCAGAGTCCTTTATCCCCTTTAATTTTGGATTTATATATACTTCACATAAAATTTTTAATGATAATTTATATAAAAAATATATAAAATAATATATATATA